CCACTCACACCCCCACCCTACCCCATCACACCCCCTCCCTTCCATGCCCCTCTCTCACCTCTTTTCTGCCCCTTACAGGTCCTGGAACGGTCCAGGGATGTCGTCGATGAAGTGAGCATTTCTCTCAGGCTTTGGGACACTTTCGGAGATCACCACAAAGACAGGCGTTTCGCCTACGGCAGGGAAAAAAGCCCAGGGAATGTGTGGTTGCACCCCGTTTTCCTATCCCCATCCACAGCTGGTTAGGAAAGCTCCCACAGGCAGACCACCCTTGAAGTATGCTAGTCTCCCGGCCATGCCTAGGGAAGGAATTAGAAAGACAGTATTGTTTGCTGGTATGGAGGATAACCAAGTCGTCCTCGCCTCTCCGAAAGTCTGGTTTTGAAACTCCCAGCTGGCCAAGCTGGGCAATTTGCGACACAAGTATCCATCTGGCCCTCTGGTTCGTAGTTGCTTCACCTTCTGCCTTCGCCCACCGTGCTGGCTTCCTTTTAGAAGGTGTTACCTGGAAAGCGTTTCCTACTTCAGTTTAAAGGTCACTCGTAACAGAAAGAAAAGTATCTGCGAAGCCCTTCTCAGGGCGTGATTTCCAAAATGAACGGAAGCATCCGTGTCTAGGTTTTCATTCAAAGAGAAAGCGAAAAGGAGAAACCCGGTAACGGGAAGACAAATCCGGAAGGGCATTTACATGGGGAGGAACAAAGTCAAAGGTCACTCCGGTGTCCAGCACTGTATTCTTGTCACCATTACTCTGTAAGGTCTCTCTGAGAACCTGTCACAGCTATCTGGACCCCCGGAGTGAGGGATGCCTATTCCTCCTCAGTGACAAATTGGACTGTGTCATTTTAAGACAGCCTGGAGTAGCATGGTTTAGCTGTCCTTCCCTAACGTCCAATACCGTGTGACCTCAGGGGGCCAGATGACATCCTCCCTCCTCGGGATAAACATTCTGAAAGATTCCCCATTCTCCAGCCCCGGAAGCTCTCTTAACAAGCCACACGCATGAGCGTGCACATCACTTTTCCCCTGGTGGCACAAGACAGGTCAGTTGTGTTTGGAACGTGTCATGTAGCCATCCTTCTTTTCATTTCTAATCAGACCAGCAAACAGCAGCGACGATCTAAAGATTCTTTGCGGTTTTTTTTTTTAATCTCCTTTCTAAATTACATTGTATTAATTCAATTTTGTTGTGCATGTGCACAGAGCAGGGCAGATTGTGGAGATCAGAGGATAGTTTGCTAGCCTTGGTTATCTCTTCCCACTATGTAGGTCAAAGGCATTGAACACCAGTCATGGGACTTGGCAGCAAGTGCCTTTATCAACTGAGCCATCTTGCCCCTGGGTCGTTTCTTTCTTGAGACAGAGTTGAACTCTAGAGCCCATGTTGGCCTTGAATGCTTCATCCCCCTGCCTCAGCATCCTGAGTATTGATTGGGATTACAGGCCTGCTAACTTTAGAGGTGTGTCTAAAATAATGAGCAAACTGCTGGAAGTGTTTGCCTTGCTCCTGGGAAGTTCACATAATTGTGGGGAGGGGCGGGGGAATCTGCAATTTAGACCAGTTTGTTCAAGGAGACTCTAAAAGAAGGGTGTGGAAGCAAACATAACTTTTCAGTTAGTTTGTTCTTTGACAATATCTGTACATATAAAGCATTCTGAGTATTCTCAACCCCACAGGCTCTCTCATCGTTCTCCCGTTCCTGCCAACTTCCCTCCTTTTAATTCTCTTTCCCAGATTCATTCTTATTTGTTTTGTGAGCCTCTGAGTTTATCCAGGGCTATTTATCTATGTTACCATGAGTCAGCACCCCCAGCACCCTCCCACACTCTAGCATAGGCCCAGAACCTATGTACTTGTGCCTGCACATGCATGTGGGGAGGTTTGGGAGTTGGTTCTCTTCTTACACCATGTGAGTGCCAGGGATTGAACGCAGGTCATATGGCTTAGAGGCAAGAAGAGCTTTTGCTGGCTGAACCATCATCTCCCTAGCCCAGCCCTCTATTACATTCTCTCTGCTCCCTCTTCCTAAATGATCCATAGACCTTTGAGCGAGCGAGCAGATAGTATAAATGACTTGTTTGGGGTTGCACAGTCACAGCACTTTCTCTCAGCACTTCAAGCAGCCTAGCATCTCTGCAATCCCTATCACAAGCTATGATTTCAATGTCCTGTCCGCAACAGAACTTTTCAGATCAGAAGCTGGCAAGGTAGACTCCTTTCCTTGACTCTCCTGGGGGTTTTGATGTTGTTGATTGGGTTTGGTTTGGTTTGGTTTGGGTTTGGGGTTTTGTTTTGTTTTGTTTTCTGTATGTTTGTCTCATTTTGTTTTGTTTTCCCAGCTTTTTTATTATTATTATTTCTATCATCTGGAGTTTTTGTTGTGGGTTTTTGTCTTTCTGGGGTTTTGTTTGTTTTTTTTTTTTTTTTTTTTTTTTTTTTTTTTTTTTTTTTTTTTGGTTGGGGGGTGTTTGTTTGTTTGACCGCACATTGTTCTACACATTAAAACAAATAAATAATAAACCTGCTTGCATTTACCAAGCACTCAGGTTTACAGCTGTGACTTTAAAGATGCATCCATTAGAATGAAATCTCTGAGAAAAGGAAAGACAGATGCAACTGGTGTGAAGGCCTCCTGAGAAAGGGCCTTGCAAGGAGAGGCACAGGATGCCCTCACTGAGGTATTCCGGGTAGACTAGCCGGCTGCTTCAGCAGCACTGTGTTCTGTTGCCACCGGAAGCATTTGTGTGTGAGGCACACAGTGTGATGTGGACCACTTCGCAGAAGCGGCACAGTCTTGATGGGAGCTCTTTTGCTCCCGTGAGACTTAAAAGCCCCATGACCTCACAAAGCGTACAGTAGGCCTTGTCCTGCCCCATGACTGTGCTAGATTCCCTTGTCCCCCCACTCCCAACAAAGCAAGCCGCTCTTTCTTTCCTGGGACTCCATAGGCTCAGAGTTCATTGTTCTGTGCCCTTGCCCTAAGGTTCTGTCACCCATGCCCTGTTCCCACTGACAGGGAAACAGCAAGTGCTCCTCCAGACAGCACGCTGGCTTCAAGGCCTCGGTTCCTGTGAGGAGGCTTCCTACTGCCTGTCTGTTCTTACTTGTCCTTTCCCATGCCCACGGCCTCCAGGTCTGCTGCCCCAGACCCCACCCAGGAGAGACTAGAACCTAGAACTACCCCATCTCAGCCACCATCATCATTCTGGAAATGCTGAATATGTGATACTGTAATTAATCTAGCGCCCAGAAATCTATACTTTTTTTGGGAAATTTGGTAGCAGTAGGAGTTCCTTTGGTAGCAGTAGAGAGCTTCAGCCACCTCTTTTCATTGCTATGAGAAAGTCATTTAACTTCATAACAATTTCCCTCCAGTTTTAGATCATTTTGTGGAGGGGAAAAAAGCATAATTGCACTTTCAGCTAATCACTTTGGTGTGGAAAACCTGTTTTAGGGGTGTTTGTGTGTGTGTGTGTGTGTGTGTGTGTGTGTGTGTGTGTGTGTGTGTGTGTGTTCTTGCACACATGCTGAAGGTGTGTAGGTGCACCACATGTGTGTAGAAGCACTCAGCGGTCAGAAGAGGGTACCAGATCCCCTGGAACTGAAGTTGCAGACTGTCATGAGCCAAGAACAAAACCCAGGTCCTCTGAAAGAACAAGAAGTCTTCCTGAGCATTGACTCACAGCCCAGTCCCCAAACCTGGTTTTCCTGTTTTGTTTTGTTTTTACTTACATTTTTACAGTACTTGGTGGGAGCCACTCAATGCGACAAGCAATGGGCACAAACTTTGAGGCACTCAGGATACATTCCAAGGCATTTGGAACCTTGTTAAAATAATTAATTGGATTCCTGGTGTGACAGTGAAAGAAACCAGACTCATGTCAAGATGCCTTGGACTTCAATGCTGGCTTTCTCTGCTTCTCAGCGCAAAGGAATTTCACATGATATCCAGTATTCCGTGCACGGAAGGGTTTGTTTTCTAGAGCATTCCAGCAGGTCCAGTAGGATTCAGTGGCAGGCAGTTGGCCAACTTGGATCTGAAAACCTTCTAACATGGTTTTAAACTGTACACAGAAAGCCATTGCTCTCTTTGCGGCATACTGGCAACTTTTTAACCCTACACCCACCCCCACACTTTGCCTAGAAGAAAAATAGCTCCCGAGTATCAAAGGTCTTCCTAGATCTCAGCCAACATTACAGGAGCTCTGCCAACATGGTGTTGCTCATCCCCTGGGAACCCTAGGAGGCAGATTGTCCCTATGCTACAGGTGAGGACTCCCTCACCTGTTTCCCAGTCCTGAGTCTCAAGGGGAAGTCTCGCCTGCAGCTCTCCAGGATTTGGGACTCCCTCTGCTTCCCCTATATCAAGGCACCTCCAACCAGATAGGATGCAGCCAAAAATGACCCCCACATTGGAGAGCACAGGTTTCCATTTGTTCTTCCGTAGTTGTACAAAGGCTTAAGACTAGAATCACTGTCCTCAGTTTCCTTCTGGATCCTTTGCCCTTTGGAAGAAGGCAAGTTACCCATCCCAGAACAACAGCTGAAGAGGTCTTAACAACCGCCCATGCACCATCCACTTTTGGATGAACTTTTAAAGCTCTTCTCTGGTTCTTTTCAAATGTCAAGAGCAAAACCATACACAGTAACCATGATTGTCATAGCTCTTTTTATTTATTTTTTTAAGAGCCTCTTAAAGGAACATCACTCATCTCTGAGAATGACAGGTCACATTTTGATACTGGACACCCTAAAATTGTTGGCAAATGGGATGGGCTGTGACTTTAAGAGGACACATAGAACATTCAATCCCTCTCCTCTGAGCCAAGCTCATATCCATAATTTGATGTTACTGTTTCCTTGGCTGGTCTTCCGCCGGGGTCAGACACCCAAAAAAAAAATAATAATAATAAAATAAAAAAATAAAATAAAAAAATAAAAAATAATCTGGTGGGTGCAAAAGGTGCCAGCAACAACTACAACCTGAGCTAAGCAGTCCTGGAGCCAGGTCTGAGCTCCCACCCCGCACCCTCCATATCCTATCCCACCTTGTTGTTGTCTTGGTGACCCCAATGAAGTTAAGCTCATTTCACAGTTGAGGAAGCGGCTACAGGAAGGGCCAAGGTCAGGCAGCTGAGAGAGCTGAACTGAGCTTTCCTTCCCGGTCTGGTGAACAGCAAA